AGGAATTTCACCTCACAGTAAATTCCATTGTAAAGTTTGTGCAGGAAACTGCTGAATTCCTGCCAGCTGCCCCCCACATTGCATCGAGCCCCACTGGATTTACCAAAGTGTCCTTGGCTGCCAGCAGGTGACAGTGACAGGATGGCAGTTTACTGGAGAAGTGGTGGCACTTGGCCAGCCCTATGGACCTGTGGTGACATACTCACAGTGTCAGCCCTTGGCCACATCTCTTCTTGGTGCTTCCAGCTGCAGTCTGGGATCTCTTCCCCAACCTGGAGAGCCTTGGGGATCTGGCATTTTGGAGACAGCTGCTGAAGGGGATGGCCAGCAGGTCCCACCTGAGAACTAAGGACACAAAGATAGTTTAAAAGAAGGAGACAAAAGGTTTTGAGACTTCTCACAGCCCTGAGAGGGCACCAAGGAATGCTCAGTTCCAACAGCTCTCATTAAGGTTCACCAGACAGCAATTAAACAAGAACCTGAGGCCCAGCACTGATGGAGGGGACACTTAATCCCTAATCTTCCTCCAACTAGCCCTGGGTCCCCAAAACCCTCATGCAAGTGTGACAGACCTCCTACTTTGCAGCAGCTAACAACAGGATCCCCTGCTTTCTCTCCCAGTTCTCTCAAGTATCTTCTCAAAGAGGCATCAGTATCCAATAGGAGACCACTGCATTCCTGGCTGACCCCCCTGCCTCAGCTCTGCCCAGCTCCATCCTCCTCCCAGGATGTGTTTATACTTGGCAATCACAGATTTAAAACATCCTCTTTTCATATAAAGATTTCTAAGGGATGAATATGCCATGTTTTGTGGGTAGAATGTATGATGTGTTTTAATGAACCAAGGAATTAATTTAGTTTATCAATACATATTTGCTTGCAGCATGAAACTGAGGAAGGTTTTTCATGTAGTGAGGCCAGTAAAAATCTGAGCAAAGCATTTTTGGTCTGTTTGTTTTTACCAGTAAAAGCCTGAGCCAAGCACTTTTCTCAGCACAAACTTACTGTGTTACAAAGACAAGCCAGCTCAGGGCAGGAGCCAAGACTTCTCCACACTTAACCCTCAGCACGCCTGAAAAAACGTGGCCCACACCAGTTTGATTGCATTGAGGTGAACATTTTTTGAATAACATGTCATAATTAAGCTTGACATCTCTCTGCCAAAGCCGTTGTGTCACCAGCCTGGCACTGGGCATGTCCCTGGTGTGCAGAGGTGAAGGGGAAATCACAGCTGCCAGACCCACATGCCAAAGCATCTTCTTACCTGTTAAACTGGGAACGTGCAAAAAGTGGGGACGTGCTCTCCATG